TCTGTGATTCCGTGATTCCATGATCCCAGAGCCCCCACCGTGTAGGACAGGAGGTGTTTGGGAAGTGGGACTGGCTGGCTGCCGTGCAGCAGAGAGCCTGGAGGAGCAGGCAGCACAAGCAGAGTTGCAGCTGCCTGCACGCAAGGGAGGATCTGCTGAGCTAATCCTTGGGCGGGGGGGTGAGGGGAAGGAGGAGGTAGGAGGTGGAAGGATCAGGGTTGACTTTGGTCTGCCTTGGCTTTGTTGTTGGGGAAACCACCAAACCCCATCCAACCAAAAATGTGCAACCACACTAAGCAGATCCGAGTAGTTTATGATAAAGTGTTGCCTAGATGCAGGTTGTGGTTCAGGGCCTAGTTCCTGTATGTTCCTCTATGGCTTTGGGTGCTTGAAGATTCATATGCTGCAATGTGTGTGGAACTGGTGTGACCTACTGGGTCACTTCTCCATTTCCAGTGTTGATTCCCTGCACAGTACTCAAGTTTGCTGGGTCTGGCTGAGACCAGGGGATGTTAAGGCTGCAGGAACACCTTGTGCTCTACTGTGCAGTTACAGCTAGCTGATGCAAAAGGTTTTGAGAGAAAGTTATCCTGTAGTGTGTATTGAATAAATGCATGGCATGGACAGAGGGCTTTTGATTTATGAAATATTTTTACAGAGGTTTTTTTTTTTAACACTCTTACAGTCTGCATTTATTGAAGCAACTAATCACGGTCTTAGACATGCAAGGGTAAGCAGAGATGGGTATTTTAGAGAGCCTGTGGGTAGAGGAGAAAACAATAACAGAAGCTTTCCCAATCTTTTGTTGAAGCAATTAACATGATAGTGTTATTTTAATACCTGATCATCTCAGCTATTTGGTGGCTGTGGTCTGCTGGTCTGACTGTCCTGACTGAAAATCCCTTTGCCCTCTTTGCTCTTAGCTCCTTTGACAATGCACGTTAGATCACTAAGGACTCCAGAGGACTCAGCCTGAAACACACAGGTGTGCATCTGTGTTGTCTGTGCTGTAGGGGCATTGGCTTCTGAGGGACTTAAGACTCCTGAAACCTACTCACCAGACTGTCAGTTCAGCAAAGGCCAACCACATACTGAGCTGCATTAGCAAGACTATGGTCACCCAGCTGAAGGAGGTGATGGACCCCCTCTCTTCAACAGTTGTGAGACCCGTGTCCAGTTTGGGATGCCCCAGTACAAGAGAGAAAGTGGCATACTGGAGTGAACCTAGTGGAGCAGTAAGAGGCTGAAGCACGTGATGTACAGGAAAGGCTGTAGGACCTGGATTTGCTCAGACTTGAGAAGGCTATCTAAAATCAAGAGGAGAGCGTGGAGAAGACAAGAGTTAGACTCTTCTCAAAGGTGTAGTTAAAGGACAACAGGCAATGGACAGAAGTTGGAACATGGGAAATTCCCACTTCAAAAAAGGGAAAAAAATGTTTTACCATGAAGATAAGAAGGAACAGATGCCTGAAAAGGCTGCAGAGTGTTGTCACGGTTTAACCCCAGCCAGCAACTAGGACCATGCAGCTCACTCCCACCCTCCCCCAAGTAGGATGGGGAGAAAAGGGCTTTGGAGGCTTGTCTCCTTATACAGAGTAGCTCTGTAACTGACCCAGAGGTTTGAATCTGTATATCATCATACTCCTGCCTGCATTGCTTCTTCTGTGAGCTTGGGCAAAAAGGTTATGACATTTGTCTTGTGCTTCTGATACACTCCCGTGCTTGCTCTGAGTGCCCTGAAGGGCCAGTGCTAAGAACTGGTGTGTCTGCACACGTGCAATATACCTGAAACCACTCTGGACTTGTGCATACACAGCTCTGCAAGCATTAAGATAGTGCCAATGGTATCAGATGAAGGAATACGGCCAGCATTCTTAAATTAAAACCCAGATGTTTTATTAAACTCAGAAAATCCTAGAGAATCCCAGAGGTTTGAATCTGTATATCATCATACTCCTGCCTGCATTGCTTCTTCTGTGAGCTTGGGCAAAAAGGTTATGACATTTGTCTTGTGCTTCTGATACACTCCCGTGCTTGCTCTGAGTGCCCTGAAGGGCCAGTGCTAAGAACTGGTGTGTCTGCACACGTGCAATATACCTGAAACCACTCTGGACTTGTGCATACACAGCTCTGCAAGCATTAAGATAGTGCCAATGGTATCAGATGAAGGAATACGGCCAGCATTCTTAAATTAAAACCCAGATGTTTTATTAAACTCAGAAAATCCTAGAGAATCCTAGAAATCCTAGGAAAAAAAAAAAAAAAACAACCAACAGAAATGCCCTTCAAGTAATGCAGAAGAAAATGGGAAACAGTAGGTGATGTATAATAAACCTGTTATCATCTTGCTTTGATTTCCAGAAATGTTTTCTGTTACCATATGAAAGTGTTGGGAAGGAGGGCTTTCCTCCACAAGCCTGACAAAAGTTCAAAAGTGTCTCCTTCTCTGTGAAAGGAGGAGGCATTCTGAAACAGGAGGACAGAGAAAGCAGTGGATGATGGGGAATAAGTAAGGATCTCATTTGGTAGACAAGAAAAATAATATTATCTCTGAGAAACAGGCAGAGCTGTGAGGGCAGAAACTAAAAGTGGAAGAATATGGCCAGACACTGCAAGTGGAAGAGAGAGAGAACCATGTAGAACCAAAAAAACCCCTAAACCCTACACATCAAGGCTTTCTTAGAAGGTCTCAGAGAAGCCACAAGAAATGAAGCACGAAGAGTGAAGATTCAGAAATGCAGGTACTGCGGTGTTTAAGGGTTGGCCAAGAATTTGACCTCACCTTGGAGAAATAACAGCAAAACCTAGCCTTGTGGTTACAGTCTACGCAGATCAAATAGGTGAAGAGCACAAGCAAAGCCAGCAGTCACTTGGTGGCAACTTTGGGGGAAGGGTGAACCAAGTGAAGTGAAAATGCAGAAGGCTCTGAGTTGCTGCGAGTTCTTTTCTTGGCTTATCAAATAGCTGTTTGTAGATCCTGCAGGCTGCCTGGCTGACCTCTGCAGTTCTTCCCCTGGGCAAAAAGAGGGAAGAAGTAACTAGACTGCTGCCTCAAACTGGGGCAACTTCTCCTGTGCAGCACAGGGTCTTGAGGAACCAGAGGGTGAAACAGGAGGGCTTCCACAGTTCATGCTGGTGTCACCACGAAGTTAATCTGAAGTGAGTCAGAAGAGCAAGTATTTGGAGAAGTACTCCTGGCCATCCACTGTTTTCATTTTTGCCTAGTTGTAGCAAAGGATTTGTGCCAGGTTCTGAAATTCTTTTTCTGAGCTGGCCCATCAAAGGGCAGACAGCTGTTTTTTAGAGTGTTTTAAACCTAGCACTACTTGCATGTTTTCTTGAATTATGAAAAAACATATGTAGAGGGCCTTTTGTGTTCTTATTTTTTTATTTTTTTTTTGCCTGGGTTTGCATTTTGATTGGAGAAATTAAAAGAAGATACATCAACAGGTAATAGGTGTGTATTTTACATGTATGACTACTATGTTCTGGAAAAAACAGAGAAATATGTGTAGCCTCAAAGTGTATTAATATAAAGCCAGGAAATACCAACAATTTCTGAAAAGCTCCTGAAAGTTTTGATCCATTTTGCTGCACGTTTATGAGTCAGTGATCATATCACTGGAAACATTTTTAACAAGATCTTTCCTCTTTTGTGTTCAGAAATTGTTAAGTTCTTGTTGTTCTACAAGGACCCTATTATTTCCAGATTTTGTCATTCTGCCCATGTAGTCTCCTTTCACAGCAGTATGAGCTCAGACTCATTTCTTGACTAGACAGTTTGCAGGAAGCACCTATTGTTTTAAAATAAGTTCAGGCAAACGGATCAAATGCATTTTGTACTACAAGAAAGGAACTTCGAGAACAGAGTTCTGGGATTTCCAAGTGTGTAGAGATGCTACCAGGAGAAGCTAAGAGAGCAGGGCTCCACCATATTTGTCTTCTTGCCAAGCTCCCTCCCTTTCTGTCACTCTCTCAAGCTAAAGCTCCTCCTTGTCTTCAGGGAAGTTAGAGACGCTGAAAAGAGCAGCTGCTGGGGTTTGCCTCTCTCCTCTTCCCAGGTGGTGAGTAAATGCTTCCCTCCTCCCTTCTGTACTACTCTCCTTCATGCAGAGATGCCCCACTCCTGAGGCAATGCTCCACTCCCAGCAGCCAAGAGCCATGGTGGGAGATGTCGGGAAAGGAAGGACGGCTGTTGGACAGGCTCCTGGCCTCTCTGCTGGTGCCTGCACCTCTAGTTTGTTTGGTTTCAGTTTCTCCTGCCAGCTCAGCAGAAGGGAATTCCTTTCTGAGGTGGAGGAGGAGAAGGGGCAGGAAGAAGAGGAAGGCCTCACGGGCAATGGGCTGGCGAAGGGTAAAATGAAGAGGCTGAAGAAGTCAGAGAACAATAAGCGCCCCTCATGCAGTTTTCAGCAAGCTAACATGTGACTGGTTCAGGTGCTGGGTGAGATGAGAATATTTGGCACTAGAAAGACATGGTTTGGCACGTCTTATTTCTTTTTGCTATCATAAGGCAAAGTTGCTTCAAATTTTGCATGCCAGATCTCTGTAAAAAGTAATATTTTCAAAGGCTAATGAGGCTTTGGATGATACTCGTGTGCTCATGAGACCCTACCTGGAATACTGTGTCCAGCTCTGGAGTCCTCAGAACAGGAAGGACATGGACATGTTGGAACGGGTCCAGTGGAGGACCACGAAGATGATCAGAGGGATGGAGCACCTCTGCTATGAGGACAGGCTGAGAGAGCTGGGGTTGTTCAGCCTGGAGAAGAGAAGGCTCCAGGGAGACCTTAGAGCAGCCTCCCAATATCTGCAGGGAACCTCCAGGAGAGCTGGGGAGGGACTCTTTGTCAGGGAGTGTAGTGACAGGACAAGGGGTAACAGTGTTAAACTGGAAGAGGGGAGATTTAGATTAGATACCAGAAAGAAATTCTTTGCTGTGAGGGTGGTGAGACACTGGAACAGGTTGCCCAGGGAAGTTGTGGCTGCCCCATCCCTGGAGGTGTTTAAGGCCAGACTGGATGAGGATGAGCAACCTGGTCTGGTGGGAGGTGTCCCTGCCCATGGCAGGGGGGTTGGAACTAGATGCTGTTTAAGATCCCTTCCAACTCTAACCATTGTATGATTCTATGATTCTATGTAGGGAGCAATATAAAACGGCAGTACCTGAGCCTTACAACACCTCATTGTCCATGGGGAACAGGCATCTTGCACCCTGGTTTTTGGAAAAATCGTCTTATCCTCCCCACAACCTCTCTGGTGTGGATGGATGGATGGATGGATGGATGGATGGATGGCATCAGAGAGATTTTCACACCAAGAACAAAAACCTCCACAGCGATTACACCTAGCTCTTGTGCAGGCCTCCAAGGCAATCTGTTTGCTTCCTTCTTGTCTTGCATAGCTAGGCTGAAGTGAGGAACAGACTATCTGAGGAGGTTCAGGACACTATCTCCTGGTCTGTGGAGAGCTGTCTTGAAGGGGACCACTGCATGTATGGTACTAGCTCTGCCTCTTGTTTCTCCATGTTGATATCAAAAGTAGGGAACAATATTCAGTGCATTCCTAGTATTAAATCCCGAGTGGATAGAATCATAGAATCGTGTAGGTTGGAAGAGACCCTTGGGATCATCGAGTCCAACCATCTACCCTACTCTACAAAGTCATCCCCTACACCATGTCCCTTAGCACTGCATCTAAACGGCCCTTAAAACAGCCAGGGATGGTGACTCAACCACCTCCCTGGGCAGCCTATTCCAGTGCTCTATCACTCTTTCAGTGAAAAATTCTTCCGTAATGTTCAGTCTAAACCTACCCTGTTGGAGCTTGAAGCTGTTCCCTCTCGTTCTGTCACTAATTACCTGTGAGAAGAGACCAGCACCAACCTCTCTACAGTGTCCTTTCAAGTAGTTGTAGGGAGTGATGAGGTCTCCCCTCAGCCTCCTCTTCCTCATACTAAATAGTCCCAACTCCCTCAGCCGCTCCTCATACGATTTATTTTCCAGCCCCTTCACCAGCTTCGTTGCCCTCCTCTGCACTTTTAGCACTAAGGAGCTTTTCTATTGCAAATACTTGAATGGAATAAATAATTACTTATAATTAGTATTGCAATTTAAAAAGTTCTAGCTAGATGAAAAGCATTTCCTCCCAGAAACCAGAAACAATTCCACTGGGTTAAATTGAAAATATGAATCAGTGCTCACCAATGGGACTGAAGTTTCCAGCATGGAGTTCAGTTGAAGCCAGGGACTGAGCCAGATGATGATACCACAACTCCTGAACTCCGAGTCTGTCAGCGTTATCTATGGGTCTGTGAATCCAAAACCAAAAGTGTATAGTGTAGCCTGAGAAGCATGGAAAGGCAAAATGGTATGCCTTTGGTAGAACAGTTTGCAAAATTATGCATTTTATTTCCATCTTTTTTTTTTTTTTTTAAATGGAGCATGATTTCATAATTTGTGTTTTCGTGGTTTGCTTTTGCAGCAAAGAATGATGGATTTTGAAGAGGAAATTAAACCCATTTCAGATACTTGTGTCAGTGAGACCAGTTCTGGATTATCCGCAAGAGCAGGAATGACGAATCTTCAAGGATCACTGATGCTTCCCGAGCTGCCTGCACTGGCGGCCCATGAGACTCACCACATCTTTGTCAGTTACAGTAACATCAATTCAGCCTGGGCGAGGAACCTTATCCAGAGCCTTGAAGCCATGATTCCTAATCTGAAGGCCTGTTATCACGAGAGGGACTTTATACCAGGTAAAACAATCATTGAAAACATGGTTGAGGCCATTCAACGAAGCCAGAAAATTGTCTTAGTCCTCAGCCCAGACTTTGTCCAGAGCAGGTGGTGCCTTCTGGAAGCCAATCTGTCTGTCTTCCAAGACTGTTTAGAAAGCAAGCCAGTGATCCCCATCATGTTGGTGTCCTGTTTTGTGCCACTGCACCTCACCCATTTGACTTACATTGACGCCAGTGACATCCACTTTTTGGATAAAGTTATCAAGGTCATTTGCACTCCCAACCATGAGATGAAGAATGCCACCATGGTTCCTTATAGCCCTCCATCCCTTTACAGTGGGAAATCCCTACTGTCTCTACCAGCAGTGGATGATCAGGTCATTCCAAGATGGAAAGGAGGCACATTCAGTGAGGCACTGCCTGACCAGCTGAAGATAGTCTGTGAAGATACTGAGGTCTACAGAAAGGCCATCCGGATGATTAATGAGGTTTCATCTAGGGTATCACCTTGTTCATCAGTCAGTATTATCTTGGGGATGTCAGCTTGCCTGTTAGGAAGCTTGCAATTGTTATTAGTCATCTTCTTCTTTATTTCATTAACCTCAGACTATGATAACCCCTATGGAAATTTCCATGGCTGTATTTTGGTCTTTGCAACTTTGTCTACTTTTTCTGCTTTTGTTAATTGGGCCTACAACTATAAAGTCAAATCAGCTGATCAGAAACTTCTGGAGATGTCCCAAGTTGCTGGTGAGGCCAACTCACTGCTGATAAAGTATTGCCTGTTGGTTGGCTGTGATTCCCGAGTAAAGCTCCAGTTAGTTTACATCTCCCTTGAAGGGTGCAGAAGGCACTTCTCAGAGACTTTTGGAGAGGGAGAATACTCTGCTGAAGAGATGTTCCAGCGAGCCTTGCACTATTTCTCCTCTGATTATGCCTGTTGTGTAGCCAAGAGGCACTTCCAGTTCTCTTACTCAGGGCCCACACCAGGGCACTGGGATAAAGGACCCTGTTTTTGCCAATTCGTTTCCCACTGCATGGAGGAAGGATCCTGGCACTGGAATAGTCATTATCATCCAGATAAAAGACAACTGGGAAGAGATTAGATGCTGGAGAGTTTATACTCTGAGCAGTTGGCAAGATAGATATGTAGTGGACACTTCTTAGTCTCACCAGTCTTTTTTCTCTTGACAAAGAGAGCATTGGGTAGCAGGCATAAAAAGAGATTGTCTTCTATTTTAACTTGACCTTCAAAGAATTTCAGGACTAAAATATCTGCAGCCCAAAAGTCTATGGTGTAAGTATCAAAGGGAAAAAAGTCCTTTCTTCATCTACTGAGGTAGCTACAACTACGCACAGCCCTGAGGAGCCACTCACAAGACAAAGGTTAGGGGAAAAAAGTGGTTGGAATTGCAGATGTTCAAGTGCACAGCAGAGGGCTCACTAACTAATATAAATCGCTAATATAGGGGAAACTGTCCACTAGAGAACTATATTTACCCTCAATTGTGGGCTTCTTTGCAGGGCACTTGAAAAGGCTAGGTGATTTACTGTCTGTCGAACACAGCATGTTCTTTACTACATCCCCTTTAATTAATCTTCACTGTAGGTTGTATGAAACAGATGGAACAAGTGCTCGCCTCCGAGTCTGGCTTTGTAAGTGTCCATAAGGAATTGCCTCGCTGTATGTTAGTGTGGGGTAGAGTGCTATTGAAAAGGACAGCAGTGGACAGAATCAACGGTGACCAGTGTGGATTCTGGAAGTTCATCCCTTTGGGACACCAGTGTCTTTAGATGGATGCCATCCGTGATGCACCCCATAATCTGAAAGCAGATGGGGAACAACAGCAAGTCTGCCAGAAGGATGAATCCCTGACATGTCCTTTTCAGGGATGACATTTTTAGTCTTTACAGAACATTTTACAATGCTGATTTCTGGCTACGTCAAGATGTTCCTTCTCTCTTCAGCACCTCAGTGACCCTCTAAACTTCAGTGGGTCATTGGTTATTTTCAGATGGTAGTTGTTGGGGAAAGGGTGTTATGCAAGGGGCCTGACTTACTGTGTGAGGGAAAGAAATGTGGGGCAGTTGCACTAACACACTGCTACCGTTGGGCACCACAGGTTGTGTGACTTCCCAATCCAAAATTGCTGGGTCCCAGGCAAAGGGTGTTATGCAAGGGCCTGACTTACTGTGTGAGGGAAAGAAATGCGGGGCAGTTGCACTAACACACTGCTACCGTTGGGCACCACAGGTTGCGTGACTTCCCAGACCAAAATTGCTGGGTCCCAGGTGTTCAATCATGTTGTTCCCACTCCTGCTACTGGCCTGTCCAGCCCAGAAATAATACTGAGACATTTGTCTAGATGCCTCTTAACTGGAGACCTATGTGAGGTATCAGGAAAATGAGGCACTTTTGTGGACAGGTGATGGATCAGCTACCGGTACCTTGTACTTATGCTGTTTATTTCTCAACTCTGTTTGTAGTTTTTTGGCTTGTTCATTTTATAGGCAAACCTTTTTATTAAGGGCTGTTTAGTCAATTTTGTAGCTATTCTGTCTTTGATGACTTCAGTTTCATAGTCAAGTAATGTATATGAATGTTCTTTGTATTAAATCATACCAAGATGTGGAAGCTTTCGTGTTTTCAAATTTATTGTGAAACTGCATCTGCTGCCAGGCTCAAGCCTTTCTGAGGTTTTGAGAATACACAGAATATTTTAGTACAGGTACTTTTACAAAGACCATGTTTTACAGCCAAAAAAATCAAATATAACTTTGATTGGCTCAGTGGCCTACCTTCATTCCAGAATGACCAAGGTAGTTTACAGCAAAAGTAAAGCCGAATTCTACTTCAGTACAGTGAACTTAAGAAGGGATTATATAGGATATAAACCATGGCAACATTTGGTCCACTGTATCCATCTATGAGTTTTTAAAATAAAGACTTACAACAAAACACTTGGATAAAAGTCAAGGTGATAGTGTTATTGTTTGTTTTACTTGCCTCTTTCATATGCATTGCTGCTTAGGGAATCATTCGTCTCTCAAGTCTTAAGTGCACTTCCGCTGAGAGAGTTATTTATACATAAAAAAGGATGGTACTTTCTATTCAACTTGCAAATTCATCTTGGATCCAGGAAAGCAAATCTGGGCTCTTAAGAATTCCTGTGGTGAACTGATAAATTTGACTAAAGGAAGACAAACACATTGCTGTTTATAGTAACTGGTAACAGCATCGGCTTCGTATCCTACAGGTCTGCTGGCTTTGTATATCCAAAAGAGTGAGGAAATCTCTGTGTTAACACTCTCCAGTTTTGTGTTTTCATGCCATGATATCATAGCAAAGCATGATTTCTTCCTTGTTTTTCCACTGCATAAAATATTTGGAGGTTGCTTTGTGAGTAAAGAGACACAGTTTCTTTTTTCTGATGAAACTGATAATCAGAAAGATAAACTTCAGTCAAAACTGATCAAAACCCAACATCGTGCTGTCTGAAAGGGTTAGATCAGGTAGAGAAGATTCGGGGGAATCTTGTCAATTTATATAAGTACCTGATGGGAGGGAATAAGGAAAATGGAGCCAGACTCTTCTCAGTGATATGCAGTGAAAGGACAAGAGGCAGTGGGCATAAATTTAAATACAGAAAATTCCACTTAAACATAAGAAAAAAACCTTTTACAGCAAAGTTGATCAAACATTGGAACAAGCTGCCTAGGGCAGTTGTGGAGTTTCCATCCATGGAGGTACTCGTGGCTACCCACCTGCCCATCTGCCCTGAGCAACCTGCTGTAGCTGACCCTGCTTTGAGCAGTGGTTGGACTGGACGAATTTCAGAGGTGCCTTCCAATCTCAGCTACTCTGGGCTTCTGTAATTCTGTGATTTTTATCTAGTTGATCATCCTCAAAGCAGAAAGAAATGGGTGATTCACAGCTGAATTGCTGTATTATTACTGGAGAAAGGCTATTTATTGCATGATAAGAGTCCTACAGTTTCTAGTAAGATCCACTTAGAATTTTATTGAGGATGTTACATTTAGCTTTGTGTTCCATTTTGTATATGGCCCAGAAGTAGTATTCTTCATGTGCAAGTGCTATGACAGCAGGGGTGAAGGAACATTCAGGAAGACCTTGCCATGAACAATGACAGTAGTTTTATAGGTAGATATTTCACAACATCTGAAGAAAGGAAGGAGGATCCAAGAGCTCACCACTTGCACCCATCTGCTGGAACTTGAGATAAGGAGAAGTGGATTTGTCAGAAAGAGCAGCTTCACCATATATCCATTAACCCTGCCTGCTCTGTCTGCTTTGGCACCATATCTCCAGCAGCCTGAGTGGCCAGGGAGAGGTTTTCCATCACAGTCACTAACCCATGTCTGTTACTCATCCCACCACTGCCTTAGGTAGTCAATTTGGAAGTCAATACAAGCAGGCATGGAAAGTGCACAGGGAGAAGCCAGGCACTCTCATATCTTCCACATAATTCCCGGTCTTCCTTCCCTTAGTCTGGCCACAGATGCTCACCTTATCTCCTAGTCTGCTTATTAAAAAGAGGAACCACCTCCTTCTGCAGTTTCGTAAACTGAACATATTGAACAAATAATATGTACATCAAATAAAATACCCGCCAGATTTTAATGAGAAGGTGATGGATTTTCATTGTTTCAGTATCTTGCTTTTGCTTTTTCAAGATGTTCTTCCTTGTTTGCAATAAAAAACCAAAGCCAAACAGACTTATTTAGTGTCTCCTATCACAATGTGTCTGTAATTTTACATATTTACACCATAGTTTGTCTTTAGGCGAGGAAAAAAAGTCCAATATGACACTTAAATTCTAGCCCAGTTCTCCATCTCACTTGTGCTTATGTTTGTGAGTTTTGTGTCCTTTTTTTTGGATGCATATGTCTGCTGGAAACCCCTCTAGTCCCTGTGCTTAACATCTGTGTTGGAGAGCCCGAGTGTCTCCTCCAGCCTCCTGGGCATTTGGCTGCCAGGGCTCAGGGCCAGCTTGGAGAGAGCACAGCTGGTGATCTTGAAGAAGTCTGTTCTGAAAGAAGGTGGAGGCTGCAGCAAGGGTTGAAACCACCCCTCCAGCCCTTCCCCAGGAGCTGTTTTAGGATGAGGGTCTCCCATTAAGTCCCACCCAAGCTACAGCTGGGTCACAGCCGTGCCTGTGCCTGGCCATGTATCCTGTTGATCCAGATCTTGACCTTGGACTGACGTTTTAGCTTAACCCTGCGTCCTGGGTTGAGAAACACAGGACTAACTTTTCTTCTAATGCTGGGGAAAATTACACTTTTAGAAGACTCTAGTGTCTGAATGTGTGAAAATATTTACTTCATAGCCAGCCAGGCTCTGTGGGATTCAAGGTTAGTGTTTTCGAACCTTGCCAGGTGCAGGGACAAGGAGGAGCAAGGCCTGGGCATTGACCCAGGCTGGCCAACAGGATTATTTCATACCATGAATGTCACATTCAACATAAATTAGAAAAGTTTGCTGCGTAGCTCTCTCTCCCTTGATGGTGGCGGGTCCAGACACCTCCTTGCCCCGGTGTCGGAGCCCTGAGGCCTTCCCTTCCTCCTGAAGCCATTGCGCTGGCAGTGTCCGCCATTTGCTGTCCCTGCTGGGAGTGCACAGCTTCTACTGATATAATTGGCCAAGTATAATTCTTGTACATCTTATGTCAGTATTGGGATTAACACTGGTTCTTTAGTATTATTGTTAATTATTTAGTCTTAGTCTATTATATCTATTTCTATTTCAACCCTTGTGTTTCTTTGTGTTCCCGGATTCCCCTTTCCGGGTGGGGAGAGGTCATCAGGTGATAGAATAATTGTCTAAACAACAATAGATTGCTATGGGTTTTCTCAAACTATAACACTCTGGACCTGCCATGTTGCCAGGGACCTGCCTGGCAGTCACTGGGCTGTGTCTGACCCTGGTGACTGTCTCCAGACAGTATCCTGGCCCTGAATTCCTGGCTTGACAAATGACTCGGGCTCGCATTCACCTGGCAGCTCTGGCTTTCTCTGGTGGTTGGGACTCTGGACTGAACCTGGCAGCCACCTACCTCGCTTGCCTCACCTGGGCTATGTGGATGGAGCCCTTTCTTGCTGATGAGGTCACTGCCTAATTGATCTAGTAGTTGATCCAATAGAAAAGGAATCTTTGCCTTTTTCTTCTTTTCAGAAAGACTCTTCTTCAAAATGGAATGTGGGCAGAGCTTAAACAGCAAACAGTTTTAACCAAGGAAGTTTTTCAGAGGGGTTATTGTGTATTTGTGTCTATGTCTGTGCATATATACGCACAGACATTTTCTCTTTACCATGTAGACAGCCACTTAGCTCTGTTTATTGATAATTGCATGGAAATTATGTTTTCAGGTCAGCAGCATCACAGCTAAAAGTGGATGATACAACTCTTAAGAACTAGAAAAGTGAGGATGGAGGATAATGTTGTGAAAAAAAGAAAGCACAGAGCAAATATATCACTTCAAATCAAACTTCCTCCCTGGTTAAGGATTTCCTTGTAAGCAGTGCTTGCACCTTAGTCTTGTGACTTTCTGTGGCTTTCTGAGTTTGATGGACTTCATGTAATTCCACAGTGGCCTTGGGACAGCTTTCCCCTTTCTGTCACCTCTTATATGTAGCTGCTTGGATCTGCTTCTTGCTGAAGCCTCCAAACTCCCCCTTGGTCCAGTGGCTCCCAGGGAAAAGATATTTCCCTGGCTCTCACCTTCAGTAGAGCCCACCCGATCAAAGGGCAGCAACTCTAATATGACAATGAAAGGGCAGCCCTCCTCCAGACTGCTCCATAACACAATATAGAGCCCTCTCCCACCCTCTCTGGTAAAATGAGTACAAAAAAATAACCCCTCCAGCACAGCCTTCTTCTGGAATAATAGTTTAGATTTGGGTTTCTGCCACTGAGATTATTCTGTTACAGCTACTATTAAACTGTTAAAGGAGAAGCCTCTGCCTGAGCACTCACACACCATTCATGGTGTTACACACACACACACACACACTCACTCTCAGGCAGGATTCCTCCTTCTTCAGGCTCAACCTGAGGTTTCCCACACCAGACTCTCAGGTATGGGATTTTATAAAGTAATTAATTTAATTGAAAGGTACAGCAGAAATGACAGCCTGGGC